TTCTTACAGTTTCTCCCGAGATTTCGTATACGGAACCCGATGAACTAACCCTCTTAACTTTTTTTTCAGGCATTAACTTTTTTTGTCGCGAAACTCGTGGATTTTAAAACTTTGAAACGACGTCCGATGAATCCTGAAACTGGAGTTTGAGTCCGTTGGTAAACTCTGCCAGCTAGTCTCATGAGCAGATCAAGCTCTGACGAAATTTGACAGTTTTGAAGTTTTAAGCGGATGCAAAAATCGAGACAAAAATTCGTCATGACACTATGTAACCAGTGTTACAACCTTACACCCTTGATACATGAAAATTGCACTTATTTTCAGCCAATCATATTGTGCCTTATCATCTCACTGTTTGAGGATATACTAAAACTACTATTCAACGTAGTGTCGATGTCCAGCGATGGTGGTAAAATCCACCAATAGCCACCTTCATCTGAAGAGTTGTTAACTAGCTAATGAAATTCACATCTCACACATATTCTGACCAATGAAAATCAAGTAAAAATCTATCGGGAGTAGGTTGCTCAGGTTCTGTTTGAAGAAAAGAAAAATGGATGAAATTAACTTTAGGTTGATGCCTGTCCTGACATTAAATATTTCATGGCTGAGTTTCTCTCGTCTAGGAATAAGTACAAATCAGGGTTAACTATATTTGATTATTTGCACGATGACTCCTTGAATTGTGCTCCATAAACTTCTCGATTTGAAACAAAAGAATAATAGGAAAATCCAATAATTTTAAATCCCTATGTGTTAAGTATGAGCATTGGAAGGCCTTTTAGCAATAACTGAAGTAATTTTCTCTTGAAGAGTAACAATAGGCTTTAATTTTTGGTATGTCAATACACAATACCAAAACACAATACACACGATAGGGATGAACCCAACTGTAAAAGTCGTACGTAAAAATGATAAAAGAAGGCAAAAACTTGATTTTGACAACATGCCAAAGAATTAAGAAGATTTCCTGGCAACACTGATGAGATACTGGTTGGCCTAAGTTTTGTATACAGACTTCAGTCTGTTCACCAAGACCCAAGAGGTTTATCTCGAGTTTCGGTTTTGAGAATACGCAATTAACGAGGATTTGATCCTCGTTTGTCTATCACATCACTCCTTTTGCTCACAGTATCCTTCGTGATCTTGTGGTCGGGGCCCAGAATATCGTTTTGAATTACCAAGGCCTCGTCGAGCTCCTTCAAAGCCTCATCGAATCGTTCTTGAAGAACTAAGACATCGCTAAGCTGAACGCCCGAACGAGCTGTGTCCTGATGATGACCCAACAGCCTCTTTCGTAGCTCTTGAGCCTTCCTGAGGTACTTCTCTGCCTGGTCGATGTAATCTCGCTCATTTCGCTCAGAGCCTTTGGCCGCAAGGGACTTGTACGAGTCAGCAATGTAGGACAAAATTGAAGCTGTCCAGGGGTGGTCACCAAGCTGCTTTTCGTAAACTGGAAGGGTATTCTCTTTCCATATAGCGATTGCTTTTTGATGATCACCACACAGTCGATAAGAAACTAACAAAGTGTGAAGACAAGATATAACTTTTACATAGTTAAATGAATCCTTACTGCCTTTCAAAAAGAAACATCTGGTATGAAGAAAGAGATTGACCTCTGATTCAAAGCCGGTACGCGTCGAGGGTGATTTCGTCAAAGAATGTAAAGCTTGTAAGCCGTAAACTTTTAAAGAGCTATTTCTCAAATGGGTTAGAAAAATTAGTTTCCTTCTCAAATTAATAAACTTACCCCATATCACAAATTAACTCACTGTCAGACTAATAAACCTTTTTAACCCCAAGGTTTCCAACTTCGAATTTCTTTGCAATAGCACCTTTTGAATCAAACATTAAGCGCATGAAAAATAAATCTAACGGAGGCCAATTAAAGAAGCGAGATCTTGGTTGTTGACCAAATGCTCCTTATCAATACTATTGGAAATGTTTTAGAACAGTATGGAGAATATGCATGCGGAAGTTAGGCTGGCTGTTAGGGGTCAAGGATTCAGAAATGATTCTTTCACTTTCACGTCGAAGCCTATAGACAACACCATTCCCTCTTTCTCCATGAAAATAAGACTCGACGAGATTCCAATACATGAGTTTAGTATTTCCTCTTTTCAGTTCTCATTTAATTGGAAATTTATTTGTTTTTCTCTCGGTTTTTAAAAAGAAAACACCCAATTAAGAATTTCACAGTGCACTTTGTCATCCTTTTAGCCTCCATCCAGTCTCCTACGAGGATATGCAGGTGTCATACTGAGTAAAAATCAAACATTTACTTACTTCCAAGGTCACAGTATCCTGCAGCAACATACAAACAACCACTTAAAGAACTTCTTATTGAAATTCCTTCCTGTATGAGCTCTCGTCCTTTTTTCTCTTTTCCCTGCAAAAAAAAAAAATCTTGTAAATATCCCGGTCCAGTCTACCTTAGTGCGAGTGACACCCCATTAGGACTGACGCAAACTCGCCCATTTCCGCCGTAATTGATAAAGTGTCATTAGATTTCCTATAATCTTCAGTACACAAGAAGAACTTAAACACTTCTCCTCAGCGTTAGATTCTCATGAGCCCCACTAACAAAAATGCATGGATGGTATTTAAAAAGGAAGCCATTGACAAAATTCTTCTTAAAAAGGAAGAGATATGGCGGAAAATCAAAACAAAAAAAAACGGCACATAGTCCTCTTTTAAAATTAATATGATCTCACCTGCAATACAAAACATACTCCGAGCTTACTGGCTGTGTGTGCATGCGTTTGGGACTTTTGTTCCTCCTCTGGTAATGTCCTGCGCATGTCATATGCTTCCTGAAACTTTGCAAGTGTGACTTTGTTTTCTTCTGGGCTGTCTTTGCTGTGAGACACGTCACAGAGACGACGGAATCCCAGTGAATTCAAGCTCTCTGCATGCCTCTTCTTGTCGCCGGACGCTTCAGCAATATCACAGCATTTCTGGTACAGCACTGTGCATTCTCTAGGGGGTGTTAGAACTTTTGCTACAAAATCCAGCACTTCTGTACCGTTAACGACGTCTAAAACGAAATGTTTGTCATCTAAATCGCTAGAGTCTTCTAGACAATTCTTCAGCGCCTCCATGATGTTCGCTTTCTGCTGACGAAACTTACGGATAGCAACCGAAGCTAAATCTTTGCTAATAAAATCTTCGCTCAAGACTCTCAGCTGACCAAGGTAATGACGGTTAAATTTACGCTTAGTGGTGCGCCACAGGTCACCCTTACCTAGTGATTCATTCTCTGTCCGGAAGTAGTCTTGGATCAAAGGATGCATCCTCATCTTTCCATCGGCGTCCCTCTGAAGAAGAGCATACTTGACCATCGTGGTCTTCACTGTTTCACAGAGTAAAGGATCTTCAAAAAGAAACTTAATGTCTTGGGCTGTGAACTCCGATGGGAAAACAGAAAAAAGGACAAGATTTTCTTTGACCTCGTCCGAAAAATTGTCAAAAAATACTTTCAGCGTGCTATAAACATCTTTCGCACCGATCCTGAAAAATTGTATGGGATTATTCACGAGCTGTTGGATTAACAGCTCGCGACTAAAACCATTGTTCATCAAGTCAGAACAGGTCACAAGAAGGAGTGGTATCCCACCACATAATTTAGCAAGTTCCTTGGAGTGTTCCTCACTACAGTCATCAACAAGACTCCGAAGCAGTTTAGCAGACGAGTCGAGATCCAAAGGTTTAAGAGGAAACTTACAAACGTCTGGCGACACGAATCCAACATGTCTTCGAGTTGTGATCATCAACTTTACATTCGGGGCAGATTTTACGAGCCATCTAGTGAATTCATCAAATTCCTCGCCCTGTATATTCTCTGTATTGTCAAGTACAATGACAGTTGGAATATTTCGCTCCGATAGTTTACGCTTCGCAAGAGACATAAAATTAGCGGTTTCCGAATATGTGCGACTATTCAGTCGATCAAGAATCTCACTGCAGATGTTTATGAGCTTCTGATGATGACTCTCCACTCGAATATGTGTTACAAACTGGTCTCCCCTCTGCTTTAACAAGTGACTTACACGGATTCCCACTTCAGTCTTCCCTATTCCTGGGATAGAAAGAAGAACAACCATACGAAAGGTCTGCAGTTTCTTTACGATTTCATCTACGTCCGCGTCTCTCCCAACAAAGTGTGCGGTTAAATATGGAAGATCTCGAGGTAAACCACCCGGCAACGATGGTATACCTAAAATACGAAAAAAAAAATAGAAAAAGTGGTAACAGATACACGAACAGTAGCGGACCACAGCAGATGTCCCAAAAACAAGTTGAGGATATACCAATGGAGCCCTAAATATAAGACCCCAAATAGTCCCTTAAAGATTGTGCTATTATAATTTTTTGGCATAATAATATACATGACAAAATTTCTCTGATCCGCGTATCTGAGAAGAAAGATGAGGCTATCAAAGAGAATAACAACAAACGTCAAACAAAACATTACTCGGCGATAGGTTTCAAAATATTGAATATCGTCATTAGACAGACCAAAGTTGGAAATTCCGAGAAAAATTTTGCGGATTCGTAAGTTTTCAGGACGTTATCCCTGAAAAGTTTCCGTTTCAACGCTGGCATGTTTTTGAGTTTGTTTAAAATTGTTAGATTTTCAGCTCTTAACATCGATTCATTTTTAATCGCATCGTCCATTTGTTGGCAGTCAATGTCCGTCTGACAAGAAACAAGGAAATTTCGGCGGGAAAAACTTCTTTGCGTTGACAATAATGTCTGTATGCTGGTCAGATATTATTAGAACCATCCCCTGAAAGTGTCTTCGCGATTTGTTTATTCTCGAAGTGTTCGGAGCATATATGCAGTTAGTCAACTGCGTAATGAGAGATTCTGAGCCGTTGGTTAACGGCTTAAAATCTTACAGTATGTAAATATGCCGACGCAGATAGTGGTGTAAAATCGTACAGTCTATTGACTGTGTTTGTCACATATTAGGCTGTTATCTAAGTACCGTTCTCGGTGCCAGATTCAGCGTCCAAAGTCAGCCCACTGAGTGAGCATGCACGCCGTTTAAAATTTATCAATCTTACTGCCAATAAAACATCACTTCATGCTGCTGCAATTTGCAAATGCAAACTCCTCGACCGTGAAATATACCGCCAATTTTGGCGCATTTATCTTAACCATTAATTTTTTTTAACGCGCTCACAACCAGATCAACTTTGATTTTATCGAAGACTTGACAAGAATTAATCTGAGGTCTGTTTAGACGCATTATTCACAAAGGAAAAACAAAGAAAGCATCATTCAATCTCAGCAAACCTATCTACACACGTGTCTTTACCAGAATCTTACCTTGTTCCTCGATTGAAGCGGCTAGCTCATTGCATCCGACTTTTCTAAGTAGCCATACCAAATAGGACACGTCTTCTGGGCAGATTATGTCGTGATGGCGTAAGAAGCTCAAAAACTCGCGTTGGGTTTTGATAGCAGCGAGCTTTCCTCGTGGTAAACAATTACCGTATTTTTTTCCGCCGCAGAGAAATTTCATTTCCTCTAACTCTTCTTCTGTTATTTGGTCGGCAATCTCAGCCAAGAAAGCATTGAACTCTGCTGTATTTCGTTCAAGTGGCGAAATATTCAGTTGTCGAAGGGAGTGCGCCATTTCTGACAAACGCTCCGTCTCCGGTCACGCTAACGTGGCTAATTTAGGACTGAAAACGATTCGTGTGACACCACAAAATGTTGAGGGTCAGTCGAGACAGGCAGAACGGCCTGGAAAATTGACACCTAGCTATATTTGAAAAGTATACTTGATTGCGTAAAAAATTATGAATGAAGGGGGTAAGTTTCTGTAAAAATTGTGGTGCTGCGTTGGTAGGAGAAAATAACAGGGCAGGTGTTTACGCACAGATTTCTGGGATCGCCACGAGGTAAACATTGCAACTCGCAAGGATCCGATTAGTGGCAACTCATTCGACTGAGAGAGAAATTCGCTCTGACGAATGGCTAAAGCTCGAAACGTCAGCTTTGAAACTCTTTCCGGTGGCCAATTTACGTTATCAACCAAGTTAATGATACTTAAATACCCTGCAAATGTACTTAACCTACTCACTTCGCCTTATTAGCGAAGCCAAACCTAGAAATCCACATCACCATTTGATGGATTAAGGAACCATTCCTTCCAGTTATCAGTAGATTATTATGTCGAATCAAGAGTTGGTAGGTCAGTCAGTCACATAATCAGGAGGATGATGGGAGAGATTTGCTCGATATTCGTACAAATTATTCAAAAAAGAGTCGACAAATCTTTCAGACAATGCTCAAGAGGTCAAACTTATTTGAAAGCTGTCATTTGATAAGTTATGCCTAAAGTTTTGACCGATGTGGAACCGAAATATTATAAATTTCATCGTTAGAAAATTTTTAACAGTTCGCTAACCCAGAATAAATATCTATGATTTGTCTCACACAAAGTGTGGTAGAATCAATTATTACTGGGGTATACCCTTACACAAGGATTCATAATAATAATATAAAGTAATAATACTTATGTAGCGCCGATGATCCATTCATAAGGATGTTTTGCTTGAAATAGGTACTTTTGAGTGCCGAAGTGTGGATGCAAAGGCGGGAATTTCATGTATCTTAAAACAGGGAATGAATTAAAAAACTGTTTTAAATCCAGAACACTTCTTGTTTTAAAGGTCTCACTAGGGCATGTTTCAGGGACACAGTGTAACAATCTAGATATGTGACAATGATTCCTCTTTCTAAGGAAGCATAGAAAACAGGTACATTTACCTTTTGGTTAAAAAGTAAAAAAAAAAAAAAATTGGCAGAGTATGGACATTAACCCTTTAACTCCCAAGATCTGAGTGCTAATTCTCCCCTCCAGCTGCTACATATTTCCTTTTAAATTAGTTACAAGAATTTGGTGTTAGATCAAGACAACAACTTCTATTTGATATGTTTGAGTATTCTCGTCACCTGTTTGCTGGATGATGTATGGATATTGCAAGGAAAAGTTAGATGTTAATAATTTCTGGGAGTTAAAGAGTTAAAGCAGAGCATCCAACAAATCTTGGCCCTTTAGCCAGATGGGAAGTACTTTAAGCTGAAAAGCTCTCTCAGAGGGGTCAACTGAGCTCTATCTAGTGTTAAAGTTCTTCACTACTATTAAGGTGGCTCTGACCAAGGCTTGATGACTAGCTGCCATTCCATAAAGGAGCCTGAACTCCTTGGAACAAATACAAGAAAGTGGTGGCTATCAAGCCCTACTGCAAATGATACCTTAAGAGGAACAACAATACAAAAATCAAACCTAATGCTTAATTCTAATCATCTTTTGACCTTCTTGATACTGGTCATGGGAACTGTATAGCTGTATAGCTGTGACAGCCTAAGACACCATTAGCAAAATAATTCCAAGCTATATTAGTCAATGGTGCCTGATAGCTTAGGGATAGCTGATTTCAAATACACCAAGAAACACAATTTCAAAAGTGGTTACTACTGACATAAATTTTTGTAATCATCATTATTTTCCCTTGTAATAATATACATGAAAAATTGAAAAATGCAAAGACAAGTGTCCTCAATGTGATTTTTTTAAAAATGGCTTTTCAGTGTTACAGCTTTGCACTCCTGTTACATAAAAATTGCATTTATTCTCAGCCAATCAGACAAGCGAAATTTTTTCATGTATATCATCAACAAATCAACAAATCTCAGGCAAATTGGTTGTCTTTGAAAAATTTCCTAGTGTTTATGAACACCAAATTGCACTCAAGGGCATTTTATTACCTATAAAAATTGATGATATGTATGACAGAAAACAAATTAAAACATAGGCATAAACAACAAGCATATAACAAAAATTTGTCAATTGAAAAAATTTAAAATTGCATCTCTAAAATACCAATCCTCAAGAAATATTATTCTTCTTCCCATCTGATATGAAATGTTGTTCAAAGAAAGTTCTGCAATTACTATTTTTTCTTAATGTAAAGGGGGGGGGAGGGATGTTAGACTGATATACAGCATACCATTATTCATGTCATGTGTCCTAAATTTTATAAGATTCAACATATATTTAATTAAAAGGCAACAATATTCAGTATTCAGGGTGTAAAATCTTTTTCAAATAATATTATGTGATATTTCTTTCACTGGATTTGATTCAGTGTCTAAGAAACTGTGATACCAAAATTGTGCGTGTCTTTAAAAACAGAGGTGACCCTCATACAGTGTGAATAAAGAAAACTCACTATGTACCTACATGTACATGTACATCTCACTAGAAAAGGAGAGGAGATACAACAAGCTTTAAGAATTACTGGTACAGCTGCAGCTACTAAATTTATGTAACCTTATTCAATTGCACAAACAAGCTTCATATTCTACTTTTTTTTTTACTTAATTACACTGTAGGAGAAGCATGTGAACATCTAAGCCTTGTAATGGGAATTTCTCTTTACACAACATTAGAACTACCAATTGAAACTGAAAATGTTCTAAAAAAATTTTTTTAAAATATTATATATATGTCAGCTGAATATTACATATAATTAGGACTAAGACATGTTTTGATGCTACTTAAAAGATTTGATGAATGTAACCGTGAAGTTACATTCATAGACCAAATGTTTCAATACTCCTGTCTAATGCCTTCATCAGGGGTGGTCTTTATAAATGGGTGTCAGGTAGTAAGCCGCCATCATCACAACTTACGTAAGGGTTGGTTGCATAACCATGCGTGAATATTTATTCTCATCCGTATGCCGGATTTCGTTTTCAATCGCCAGTGTTTGTGCATTAGTTCAATTCGATGACGTAATTTAACAGTCTCGTTATTTACTTTTAAGACCACTCTAGTGCCTTTCTTGCGCCCTTCTTTTCTTTTTCCTTTTCTTTTTTTTTTTCGTCACAGGACTTTCGCGGACGGGAAATGGAAATGATAAGGTTAGGTGCATAAATGTCTATTTCGCTCGTAAAAATTTCAAGCCTGAGCTCAACGGCAAAAATTATGAACTGTTGCAGGAGATGGATTAAGCTTTTAAAATTATTTTTCTCTGTTCTTAGTCGTAGTTTTTGTCGAAATTAGAGAATAAAAAGTCGAGCATTTGCAACAACGCCTAAAAGAACAATTTCTGTCGCACGCCTGATCCAGTTGACCCGCAAGTTGCAAACATTTGTTATGATTGTAATAATATGACAGTAACGTAACAAAAAATAACGCACGGAGCAGTTTGCGCTTCCTTCGCGCTGGCCGAAGCGGTTTACAAATATTGCACTTCCACGACGGAAAATGGTTGTCTCTTCCGTCGTTGTTTTTTACCAAGCTACTGCATAATTTTGTCATTCGTTGAATTCGTAGTAAATGTATGGAAAGTAAATCAAACTTACCGAGATGGTTTACGCTTTTATAGATAGGACTTTGACCACTTATTAAGCCGAAGGGTCGTTTCTAGCGCTGTCAGAAACATATAAATTATGGTTCGTGGCGCTCTTGGGGGTAGTGAAATCATCAAAGGTAGCAAGGTTCCAATTTTTGCTATTCACCTCCGAGCAATGGCCGCGGGATTTGCGCCAAATATATTGTAAATTGTTGCAGGACTAAAAGAGTTAAATTATCTTTTTGTGCATTATTATCTCACTGTTTGAGTATGTACTAAAACTACTATTCACCTTTGTGTCGATGTCTAGTAATGGCGGTAAAAATCCACCACAAGCCACCTTCATCCATCTAAATAGTTGATAACTAGCCAATGAAATTCAAACCTCACACATATCCTAACCAATGAAAATCAAGGAAAAATCTTTCGGAAGTAAGTTGCTCAGGTTCAGTTTGAATAAAAAAAAATGGATGAAATTAACTTTAGGTTGTGCCTGTCCTGACATTAAATATTTCATGGCTGAGTTTCTCTCCTCTGGGAATCAATCCTACAAATCAGGGTTAACTATGTTTAACTATTTGCACAACTACTCCCTGAATTGTGTTCCATAAACTTCTCAAAAACAAATGAATAGTAGGAAAATGCAATAATTTTCAATCTTTATGGGTTAAGGATGAGTATTGAAAGGCTTTTTAGCAATGACTGAAGTAATTTTCTTTTGAAGTGTAACAATACACTTTAATTCTGTGGCATGTCAATACCGAAACACAATACAAACGATGGGGATGAACCAAACTGTAAAAACCGTACGTAACAATGACAAAACAAGGCAAAAACTTGATTTTTATATTATGCTAATGAATTTAACAATTTCTTTGCAACACTAATGAGATACCATGTAGTTGGCCTAAGTTTTGTAATCATGCTTCAGTCTGTTCACCAAGACCCAAGAGTTTTACCTCGAGTTTCGGTTTTGAGAATATGCAATTAACGAGGATTTTATCCTCGTTTGTCCATCACGACACTCATTTTGCTCACAGTGTTCTTCGTGATCTTGTGGTCAGGACCCAAAATATCCTTTTGAATTTCAAAGGCCTTATTGAGCTCCTTCAAAGCCTCATCGAATTGTCCTTGAAGGACTAAGACATCGCTAAGCTGAACGCACGAACGAGCTGTATCCTGATGATGACCCAACAGCCTCTCTCGTAGCCCTTGAGCTTCCCTGTAGTACATCTCGGCCTGGTCGATGATACCTCGCTCAGAGCTTCCAGCCGCAAGGGCCTTGTACGAGTCAGCGATGCAGGACAAAATTGAAGCTGTCCAGGGGTGGTTACCAAGCTGCTCTTTGTAAACTGGCAGAGTGTTCTCTTTCCAAATTTCGATTGCTTTTTGATGATCACCACACAATCGATAAGAGTCTAACAAAGTGTGAAAACAAGACATAAGTTTTATATAGTTAAATGAATCCTTAACGCGTTTAAAAAAGAAACAATTGGTACGGTTAAAGAGACGGACTTCTGATTTAAAGCCGGTACGCGTCGAGGGTGATTTTGTCAAATAATATAAAGCTTGTTAGCCATAAACTTTTAATGGGCTATTTCTCAAATGGCTTAGAAACATCAGTTTCCTTCTCAAATCAACAAATCCCTCCTCATATCACAAATCAACTCATTGTCAGACTAACCAGGGAACATCAACCTTTTAAACCACAAGGTTCCTAACTTCGAATATTTCCTTGCAATAGCACCTTTTGAATCAAACATTAAGCGCATGAAAAATAAATCAAATGATAGCCAATAAAAGAAGCGAGATCTCGGCTGTTGACTAAAATTCTCCGTATCAATACCATTGGAAATGTTTTAAAACAGTATGGAGAATATGCATGCGGAAGTTAGGCTGTTAGGGATCAAGCATTCAGAATTGCTTGATTCACTAGCTTTCATGTCGAAGCCTATAGATGAGACCATTCCCTCTTTCTCTATGAATATAAGACTCGACGAGATTCCAATACATAAGTTTAGTATATTCCCTTTTCAGCTTTCATTTAATTGGAAATTTATTTGTTTTTCTCTCGTTTTATTAAAAGAAAGCACCCAATTTGGAATTTCACAATGCGCTTTCACATCCTTTAAGCCTCCATTCAGTCTCCTACAAGGATATGCGAGTGTTATATGGAGTGCAACCCAAAACATTTACTTACTTCCAAGGTCACAGTTTCCAGCAGCAACATACAAACGGTCGCCTAAAGAATCTCTTATTGAAATTCCTTCCTGTATGAGCTCTCGTCCTTTTTTTTCATGTCCCTGCAAAACAAATAACTCGTGTAAATATCCCGGCGGGTCCAGTTTGCCTTAGTGCGAGTGATACCCCATTAAGATTGACGCAAACTCACCCATTTCCGCCATTATTGATATAGTTTCATTAAATTTTCTACGATCTTCGATACACGAGGAAAACTTGAACACTTCACCTTAGATTCTCACGAGCCCCTCAAAAAGAAAATGCAGGGATAGTACTTAAAAGGGAAGCCATTGAGAAAAATTATCCCTAAAAAGGAAGAAATAAGAAGGAAAATCAAAACAAAAAAAAGGCACACCGTCCTCTTTTATCTTTACTTTGATCTCACCTGCAAAACAAAACATACTCCGAGCTTACTAGCGGTGTGCGCATGCGTTTGGGACTTTTGTTCCTCCTCTGGTAATGTCCTGCGCATTTCATATGCTTCCTGAAACTTTGCAAGTATGGCTAGGTTTTCCTCAGGGCTGTCTTTGCTGTGAGACACGTCACAGAGAAGACGGAATCCCAGTGAATTCAAGCTCTCAGCATGCCTCTTCTTATCGCCGGACGCTTCAGCAATATCACAGCATTTCTGGTACAGTGCTGTGCACTCTTTAGGGGGTATTAGAACTTTTGCCACAAAATCCAGTACTTCTGTACTGTTGACGACGTCTAAAACGAAATGTTTGTCATTTAAATCGCTAGAGTCTTCGAGACAATTCTTTAGCGCTTCCATGATGTTGGCTTTCTGCAGTCGAAACTTACGGATCGCAACCGAAGCTGAATTTTTGCTAATAAACTCTTTGCTCAAGCTTCTCAGAAGGCCAAGGTAATGGTGGTTAAATTTACGCTGAGTGCCGCGCCACAGGTCATCCATGCCTAGAGACTCTTTCTCTGTCCGGAAGAAGTCTTGGATCAAAGGATGCATCCTCATCTCTCCATCGGCATCCTTCTGAAGAAGAGCATACTTGACCATCCTGGTCTTCACTGTTTCACAGTGTAAAGGATCTTCAAAAAGAAACTGGATGTCTACAGCTGAGAACGCGGTTGGGAAAACAGAAAAAAGGACAAGATTTGTTTTTACCTCATCGGAAAAACTGTCAAAGAATAATTGCAGCGTGTTATAAACATCGTTCGCGCTGATCCTGAAAAGTAGTATGGGATTATTCCCGAGCTGTTGGATTAACAGCTCGCGGCTAAAACCATTGTTCAGCGAGTCTGAACAGGTCACAAGAAGGAGCGGTATTCCACCACATAATTTCGCAAGTTCCTTGGAGTGTTCCTCACCACAGTCATCAACAAGACTCCGAAGCAGTGTAGCAGACGAGTCGAGATCCAAAGGTTTGAGAGGAAACGTAAACACGTCTGCCGAAATGAATCCAACATCTTTTCGAGTTGTGATTATCAACTTAACATTCGGGGCAGATTTCACGAGCCATTTAGCGAATTCATCAAATTCCTCGCCCTGTATATTCTCTGTATTGTCTAGTACAATGACAGTTGGGTTCTTTCGCTCCGATAGTTTACGCTTCGCAAGAGACTTAAAATCAGTGGTTGACGACCAGGTGCGACTACTTAATCGATCAAGAATCTCACTGCAGATGTCTACGAGCTTCTGATGATGACTCTCTACTCGGATATGTGTTACAAACTGGTCAACTCTTTGCTGCTTTAATATGTTACTTACACGGATTCCCACTTCAGTCTTCCCCATTCCTGGGATAGAAAGAAGAACAACCATACGAAAGGTCTCCACTTTCTTTATGATTTCATCTACGCCCGCGTCTCTTCCAACAAAGTGCTTGGTTAAACACGGCAGATTTCGAGGTTGACCACCCGGCGACGACGGTATACCTAAAATACGAAGGAAAAAAAAAAAAAGGAAAAAAGTTTGAACAGATACAAGAACGGTAGCCGATCACAACAGATGTCCCAAAAACAAGTTGAGGATATACCAATGGAACCCTAAATATAAGAACCTAAATAGGCCCTTTATGATTTTGTTTGCATAATTTTTGGCATAATAACATACATGACAAAATTATGCGCGTCTGATGCGCGCATCTGAGAAGGAAGATGTGGCTATCAAAGAGAATAACAAGGAACATTAAACAAAACACAAGAGTATGGAGGTTTTTCAATGTGGTCTTTTTACAGACAAGCAGTATCCATGTCTGAGAGCTTCTCCAGGCAGAATTCAAGTCTATAAGTGATGTGTCAATACACTTTTGGAGGTCAAGAGCATTTTAAGCAAAAGAAATCTTCAACCCCATGTTGGGGCAGCTCACTGCCTTGATGAAGTGGCTGACAAGTACTATGCAAAAAAATAACTTTTTGGAACCATCAAATACAAGGATACCTAGCTTTAGCTAGATTGGAACAGTGTAATCTTACATATTATCTACACTCTTAAGGGAAATTAGTAGTACCTGTAAAATTTGACAAAGAACTGTGGGAGCAAATGGTAGGGAAATTATCAAAGTTCTTAGGGAACACATGGTGCCTGAACTCCTAAGTGGAAAGATTCATGAAGAGGTTACTAACTAAGCCTTTAAGAACCTTTGACAATGGATTTCGAGCACCATCCATGTTGAAATTAATTTATCCTATTACCAGATGCAAAATAGTCTTTAAGGCCTGATTACAGGTTAGAGAATACACTTGATTTGCCTGTTGTGTTTTTATATCTAGAAAGATATGACAGTACTTATAGATGCACTGTAATATGACAGAAGTGTTTGTGACCGTGGTATCCCAAGTTTTTGTCTGTTGACCAATGTTTTCTTCAGTGGATAAATTCCGAAAAGAATCCTATATTTTCCGAAACTAAACCAGCAGTTTGAAATGGTTAAGGGCCTGCTTACATGGAGGTGGGGGACCCCAGGTAGGTGAGGTAACCCGCCTGTCCATATAATTTCTTATTTTATTTTGATCACGTTTACATGATAGGTGGGGTGACCCGCCTAGGCGGGTTGCCCGGTCTGCCAGGTAGGGTAACCCTGTCAGCCGGGGTGACAATTTGCCATGTAGACGTGTCAAGGTGGGGTAACCCGAATAGCCGGGGTCGCGTTCATGGCAAAAAGCTCAAAAGCGAAACGTGTGTTTGAAAACTTTGTACATTTCCCAGCCGTCTTATGGCAGAAATCACCAGAAACCGCAAAGGACACACAAGGAGTGTAAAATGTTCACATTTCGGAATATTTCCCATACTATTCCGTATAACGTATTAAGTCAACGGTTTCTCGCGAAACCAAACACCGCGTAACACAACGCGTGACGCTTTCATGAATAAATACATTTGTGTTCGAGAGTTAATCTTTCGTCTTTTTCGAGATGTGAGCTTGGGAAGCCTCTGCTCACACTCCTTAATTACAAGCACAACAGCACCCCAGCACCTCGGGGTTGTAAGATTGCATATAAACGCGTTTTATTCTTCGACCACGGCTAGGCGGGTTACCTCACCTACCTGGGGTCCCCCACCTCCAAGTAAACAGGCTCTAAAACAGGTAAGATAAAGCTGAAAGATTTCTTTGCATAATGAAGTTAGTTTTTTTTTTGTTTTTCAGTTTTTTTGATAAATTAGAAGAATACTGAAGAGTTCTTCTTTGTAAGTGGAGGTAGTAGATTACAAAAAGCAGCATAAACTATTTAACAATTGGTTCATACATCAGCGTGCGTTCATCGAGATATGAAGCACGCGGGAAGTTTGGAGAGCACGAAAGATGCGTAAGAGTTGCTAGAGGCGTAGCCGAGAGCAACTCTAGCTTCCAGCTTCTTCTTCTCGTCAAAACTGGAAAATCGAAAGAGGAATACGCAGCAGTCAAAGCTCTTTTAAATCTGAGCGTAGAGCCAGTGATGAGTTCAGGAGAGCAAATCAAATTATTAAAAATGTCGTACAATCCAAACTGCGGGGAAGTGTTAAAATTGTCAACAGTCTTCAGGAAAAATGGATTGGGTATTAGCATATTATGAAATACTAATTCGTCTAAAGCAGTGGCGTCGCCTTTTCGAAATTTGGATGCACTGGCAGAACCATTAGGGAGTTTAAGATACGGTCACTACGGACTACGGACTACGGTAATACGCGGCGAGGACCTGGTTCGAGATTTACTGCGCATGCTCGATAGCACGTGGGTTTCGCAGTCCGTCGTGTGGTTGCAGGCTACGGGGAGTAGTCGAGGAGATTCGCGTAGTGAGGACTACGTAAGTATTTTTTTGCCGATTTTTGACCAGTTTTAAGCTTTATTGTTGAGAAAATGTTAATTTTACTTTCAATTAACACAAAGCTTAACAAATCTAAGAGGAAAGTCATTTCTGAGAAAAATTATGAATTTTAAATTAAAATCTTAATTAAATCGAAATAGCGGCATGGGTATGCTAGTCGTTTTAGCAGTAAACAAAGTCCTTCTAAGCCACTGCAAACTGTTCCCTGTGGGCACTTGAAACTCGCCGGAATCCGCAATGCGTTCAATAACATTGGAATATCATCCTTGGCCACCCTGAAGTGAGCTTCGCACTCGCAAGAGTCGAACACATCCAAACAGAATGGATCAAAATTCCAGTACGGAAATGAAGGATTAACGGGTTGGTAATAATCGTAAAGAACAATAAACTCTTCATCATCCAGAAAACCATCCGCATAAGCGATTAAAAGGGCGTTTCTAGCATCTTCGAAGGACATTTTTTTTTCCAAGTGCAGCCGTAGTCCGTAGTCGTTGTCACGATCTTAACGTCAAACAACACTCCAATTTTCGCGCCCTTTTAGCGTAGTCGGCCCAGTCCACGCGTGGCTTGGATTCTCACGCCCAGACGTAGTCCTTAGTCCGTAGTGACGGTATCTTAAACTCCCTATTTTTTCGACTGCGGAGGTGATTTCCACTAACGAGGTTCCAAGTGTCCGCTCGCTGAAATCCCCCGTTCTTGTAGATATTTTTTAAGCTATGCCACACTTATTGCGTTGAGTCAGCTTTACTTTGTGATCTACCATTCTTAAGTTTGACTCTTCTTGAAAGCTGTTCTGAGTTTCGCAGAATTTCCCACTTGAGTTACTTAAGGTTAAAAAAAATCGGTATATTTATCAGCTAAGGAAACCACATCCAGATACATAATTTCGTGTGGGAATTAAGGCTTCCTCACGTTCTACAGCGATTCGTGGGCACTAATTTTCAGACAGAAGTGATTTTATTTAACAATCTACGCACACAACACCCCGAAAATACCTGATCAGATACATCACAGTACGCAGAACTAGTTCGATTATTCCATGCCGCAATTCTTCCTGTAACATTCTTCGCATCTGTTTCAATGGCAGCGAAATGAGAACTTACTTGATAAACGATCAGAAAATGATAAAAGACAGACACCAATTTTGAGCGAAGAACACTTCTTTAAAGTAGGAAGTTATTTAAGAAAAATTTCCAAAGCCGAAGTTTGGACACATGTGCTGCGAGCTCGATTCAATGTCCGAACTTTAAGGGTTTGTTTACATCAAAAGTCACGTGACACTCCACGTGGAATCTAGGGCCAAAAAGGTGAGTTGAATTTGATTACACAAATTTACTAGCTATGATATAATAATATTTTATCAGCAAGAGGCACAAGTGGTTTTAGGAGATTTTTTACTTATTGCGATTTCTCGGCAAAAGGTTTCAAAATATCAAATATCGCCATTAGATAGGCCAAAGTTGGAAATCCGTGAAGAATTCCACAGGATTTGCAACTTCAGTGCGTTATCCCTGAGAAAGTTTCCGTTTCAACGCTGGCATGTTAATGAGTTCGTTTCGAAGTGTAAAATAAACCAGGATATGATAAAAGTGTTTTAACGGCGTAAAATTTTAAATCTTACAGTAACTGTTTATTTACCGACTGAGTCAAATTAACGCCGTTAGTTAACGGCGTACTGAGGGATTTTACGCGGTTGGTTAACGGCTTAACATCTAACAGTATGTATATTAATACCGATGCATACAATGGCGTAAAATCGTACAGTCTTTAGAATGTGTTAGTCATACATTATGCTGTTATCTAATTACTGCTCTCAATATGGTCGGTACGAAACTCAGAGACCAAACTCAGAGCATGCACGCTATTTCAAATTTGTCAATCTTACTGCCAATCAAACATCATTAGATGTTACAGCACTTTGCAAATGCAAACTGTTCGACCGTGAATTATACCGCCAATTTTGGCGCATTTATCTTTATCTCTGATTTCTTTCATGCGCTCAAAGCTAGATCAACTTTGATTTTATCGACGACCCGATAGTAATTAATCTGAGGCTGTCAAATCGCATTATTCATAAAGGAAAAACGATGAAAGTCTCATTCAATCTTAAGAAATCTATCTACACACGAGTCTTTACCAGAATCTTACCTTGTTCCTCAATCAAAGCGGCTAGCCCAGCACGTCCGACGTTTCTAAGAAGCCATACCAAATAGGACACATCTTCTAGGCTGATTTTACCGTGTTGGCATAAGAAGCTCAAAAACTCAATTTGATTTTTGATAGCAACGAGCTTTCCTCGTGGCAAATGATTATTGTTTTTTTGTCCGTCACAGAGAAATATCATTTTCTCTAAATCTTCTTCTGTTATTTCGTCAGCAATATTAACCAAGAAAGCGTTGAACTCTTCTGTATTTCGGGTGGGTAGCGAAATATGCAGCGATCGAGTAGAATCCGCCATTTCTGGAAGAGACGTCTTGTCTTTAGTCACGCAAACGCGGCTAATCTACGTGACTGAAAACGATTCGTGTGGCAGAACGGCCCGGAAGATTGACACCTGGCTACATTTTAAAACAAACTTGATTGCACGCATAATTATGAATGAGAGTAAGTTTCTATAAAAACTTTGGTGCTGCGTCGGTGGGAAAGTGTAACAGGGTGATGATGAGTTGCCACTAATCGGATCCTTGTGTTTGCGCACAGATTTTTGGGATCGCCTAGGGGCAAACATACTCGCAAGGATCAGATTACTGGCAACCTATACGTTCAGTATTATCGACTGGGAGAGAAATTCGCTCTGACGAAGGGCTAATGCTCGAAACGTCAGCTTTGAAACTCCTTCTGGTGGCCAATTTACGTTATACTAAGTTAGTGATATTAAGGCCCGGTTCAAAAGTCGCATTTCACATGTACCGAATATAACTCGAGAATTAAATGCATGTGAAATGCGACGTTTGAATCAGTTAAATTCGACAGTTTCGAATTAAATGCGACGGCTTACGTCGAATCTGCGACTGAAGCAGTCGAATATTCGACCTCAGTTCGACATTTGATTCACACGTCGGATTTCACACGTGCCGAATATAATGCGTGAATTATAGAAAATTTTTATGATTCATTTAACCAATTAATTAATGATTAAGTGGATGATAAAAATAGTAAAAGTTAATAAGTTATATCGTAACTCCTCGCTCGTGAGTATTTTTTACCCGTGTGTCTCGAAGCGGAACAATGAAATATCAATGCGAGGGAAAACACCGACGTGTCAAACAAGAAATGGTTACATATCTAGCGGGGGAAAGGCAGCCTTTCTTGTTCAGCGAGGTCGTTCAGCGATATTCCGGCGATGAAAAAGTCATTTGCTGATTAGCTCCGCTGACTAAACTCATTTAGTCAGTTGGAGCGGACGACCAGAGACTGGAGCCATTCCTGTGTTTCACCGCTGACAGGAATAGCTCTGACTTATTGGAAAAAAAAATTAATAAACGCATGTATGCGTCTATTAATTTTTTAATGATATTTTTAAACAATTTAAGAAAACAATTTGAAATAAAATTTAAAACCAGTCTAGTGAGTATCGCTCTGCGAACAGTAGTTATAAAACTTCTTTATTCTCCGACGCGTTTCTTCTAACTGTCATGAACTTCTTCAGGGAGTTTCTACAAGCAGTTAACACTAAACGCCTATATTTATAAGCCACTGTTAGCGGCTATTGTAGGGGCCAATGACCTAAGGGCTTGGCTGGACCTACGAGCAGGAATAGACAAAGTTTTGAAAAATCTGAAAATTTATTTTGAAAATTTTTTACGCAAGATGAGAAAAATATTTTGGGAGCCACGGTTTTTGGCTAAAAAATTTAAAATTTGAAGAGTTTTTTTTACATATGATACCTGGAAAGCAGTTTCCAAATTAGGTTAGGATGGCTTGTTTACTTTACAGAAAACATGGTTTATGTTCTACTCATTCTTTCTCAAATTTAAGTGATATAAATACCTTGTCTAAAACAGTAATGTGATACAACAGCAAACGAGATATACTCGTTCCAAAACAGCGTCATGTGATGAACAGCCTTCATTAATTTTAGAAAAAGTTTTTTAAAATCATTTTACTCTTTCTTGTTATACCCGAAAAACTGTTCGAAGATTGGTTGTGCCATCACTGAAAACAGTCAAGGTACTTCGACATGATTCAGTGCGAGAGTTACTACCACTGATATGACTGGTAAGACGTTTTTCCTTTGTTTGTTTTGTTTTTTCCTTTTTTAGGTCCAGAGGAGTCGTTAGAAATTACCAAGCAAAATTAAAGTAATCCGCGACTTTCTTCCTTTAGGTGTTGTGCAAAAATAGATCAATGAAGAGCCCGATGAATGGATTTGTCCTTCGTGTGAACAGTTACCCAGAAAATCAGTTTTCCACTAAAAAAAACTCCCTCGACTGCGGCCAAGCCACATTTCTCTAGCGGAGCATACTATAGAAACATCGGTTGCAGCGTCACGCAACACTGCGTGATTTTCCAAGCGTGACATGCAGTTGCTGTGTATTTTTTTAAAACTTAGAAACTACATGCCCTGTAGTAATAAAAGAGGGCTTCATTTGCAAGCATTGTAGAGTTCAACATAAGAAGAAACTAATAAAACGCTCTTTTAGTTTTTATCTCAGTGTTTAAATTATTTAGCCAAAACGAAAAAACAATGAATATACGCATGAGTCGGAACCATTCCCGTTAGCGGTGAAATGCAGGAATGGCTCCAGTCTCTGATCGTCCGCTTAAACTGCCTAAATGAGTTTTGTCAGCGGATGACTTTTCCATCGCCGGAAAATCGCTGAACGACCTCGCTGAGCGAGAAAGACTCTGCCCTCTTTTCGTTATTTAAGTAGCCATTTCTTGTTTGACACGTCGGTGTTTTCACACGCATTGATATTTCATTGTTCTGCTTCGAGACACACGGATAAACAATACTTACAAGCAAGGAGTTAAGATATAACCTATTCACTTTTACTATATTTTACTATTTTTATCATCCAATGACAGGTCGGAGCCATTCCTGTATTTAGTCGCTAGTGAAGGAATGGGCATGCAGTTCGTGCTTTTAACAACAAAATATACTTGTTTGACCTACAGCCAATGAATTTAGAAAATTTCCTTGCGAAACTGATGAGACACCAGTTGACCTAATTTTTGTATACATGCTTCAGTCTGTTCACCAAGACCCTAGAGTTTTACCTCGAGTTTCGGTTTTGAAAATATGCAATTAACAAGGATTTTAACCTTTTTCGTCTATCAAATCATTCATTTTGCTTACAGTGTTCTTAGTGATCTTGTGGTCGGGGCCCAAAATATCGTTTTGAATTACGAAAGCCTCGTTAAGCTTCTTCAAAGCCTTATCAAATTGTCCTTGAAGGACTAAGACATCGCTAAGCTGAACGCACGAACGAGCTGTATCCTGATGATGACCCAACAGCCTCTTTCGTAGGCTTCGAGCTTCCCTGAAGTACATCTCGGCCTGGTCGATGTAACCTCGCTCAAAGCTTCCAAGGGCTTTGTACGAGTCAGCGATGTAGGACAAAATTGAAGCTGTCCAGGGATGGTCATCAAGCTGCTCTTTGTAAACTGGTAGAGTGTTCTCTTTCCAAATTTCGATTGCTTTTTGATGATCACCACACAATCGATAAGAATCTAACAAAGTGTGAAGACAAGAAATAGTTTTACATAGTTTAATGAATCCTTACCACAAATCAAAAAGAAACAACTGGTATGAATGAAGAAACGGACCTCTGATTCAACGCCGGTACGCGTCGTGGGTGATTTGTCGAAGAATATAAAGCTTGTAAGCCGTAAACTTTTAAAGGGCTATTTCTCAAGTGGATTAGAAACGTTAGTTTCGTTCTTAAATTAACAAATCCCTCCCCGTATCACAAATCAATTCATTGTCAGACTAACCAAGGAACATCAACCTTTTCAATCACAAGATCCCTAAATTAGAATTTTCCCTTGCAATAGCACCTTCTGAATCAAACATTACGCGCATGAAAAATAATCCAAATGTAAGTCAATTAAAGAGGTGAAATCTTGGTTGTTGACTAAATTCTCCTTGTCAGTACCATTGGAAATGTTATGGAACAGTATGGAGAATATGCATGGGGAAGTTAGGCTGCTAGAGATCAGGCATTCAGAAATTATTGTTTCACTTTCATGTCGAAGCCTGCAGACAAGACCATTCCCTCCTTCTCCATGAAAATAAGACTCGACGAGATTTCAATACATAAGTTTAGTATGTCCCCTTTTCAGTTCTCATTTAACTGGAAATTTATTCGTTTTTCTCTCGGTTTATTAAAAGGAAGCGCCCAATTTGGAATTTCAAATCCTTTCAGCCTCCATCCAGTCTCCTAAAAGGATACGCGGGTGTTATACGGAGTGCAACCCAAAACATTTACTTACTTCCAAGGTCACAGTATCCAGCAGCAACATACAAACGGTTGCCTAAAGAATATCTTATTGAAATTCCTTCCTGTATGAGCTCTCGTCCTTTTTTTTCTTCTCCCTGCGAAGCAAATAACTCTTGTAAATATCCGGTTCTAGTCTACCTCAGTGCGAGTGACACCCCATTAGGATTGAAGCAAACTCACCCATTTCCGCTATTACTGATAAAGTTTCATTAGATTTTCTACAATCTTCGGTACACGAGAACTTGCACACTTCACCATGGCGTTAGATTCTCATGAGCCCCACAAAAAGAAAATCAAAACAAAAAAAAGACACACGGTCCTCCTTTATATTTACTATGATCTCACCTGCAATACTAAACATACTCCGAGCTTACTAGCTGTGTGCGCATGCGTTTGGGACTTTTGTTCCTCCGCTGGTAATGTCCTGCGCATGTCATATGCTTCCTGAAATTTTGAAAGTGTGACTTTGTTTTCTTCTGGGCTGTCTTTGCTGTGAGACACGTCACAGAGACGACGGAATCCGAGTGAATTCAAGCTCTCTGCATGCCTCTTCTTGTCGCCGGACGCTTTAGCAATATTACAGCATTTCTGATAAAGCGCTGTGCACTCTTTAGGGGGTGTTAGAACTTTTGCCACAAAATCCAGCACTTCTGTACTGTTGACGACGTCTAACACGAAATGTTTGTCATCTAAATCGTTAGACTCTTCGAGACAATTCTTCAGCGCTTCCATGACGTTCGCTTTCTGCTTTCGAAACTTACGGATCGCAACCAAAGCTGAATTTTTGCTGATAAACTCTTTGCTCAAGACTCTTAGCAGGCCAAGATAATGATGGTTAAATTTATACTGAGAGGTGCGCCACAGGTCGCTCATGCCTAAAGATTCTTTCTCTGTCCGGAAGTAGGCTTGGATCAAAGGATGCATCCTCATCTTTTCATCGGCGTCTCTCTGAAGAAGAGCGTACTTGACCATCCTGGTCTTCACTCTTTGATAGTGTAAAGAATCTTCAAAAAGGTACTGAATGTCTTCAGTTGAGAACTCCGATGGGAAAACAGAAAAAAGGACAAGATTCCGTTTTACCTCATCGGAAAAATTGTCAAAAAATACTTTCAGCGTGTTATTAACATTGTCGAAAAGTTGTGTGGGATTATTCCGGAGGTGTTGGATTAACTGCTCGGGACTAAAACAATTGTTCAGTGCGTCAGAACAGGTCACAAGAAGGAGTGGTATCCCACCACATAATTTAGCAAGTTCCTTGGAATGTTCTTCACTACAGTTTTTAACAAGCCTCCGAAGCAGTTCAGCAGACGAGTCGGGATCCAAAGGTTTGAGACGAAACGTACACACGTCTGCCGACACGATTTCAACATCTTTTCGAGTAGTGATTATCAACTTTACATTTGGGGCAGATTTCACGAACCATTTAGTGAATTCATCAAATTCCTCACCCTGTATATTCTCTGTATTGTCAAGTACAATGACAGTTGGGATATTTCGCTCCGATAGTTTACGCTTCGCAATAGACATAAAATTAGCGGTTGGCGACCAAACGCGACCATTTAATTGATCAAGAATCTCACTGCAGATGTCTACGAGCTTCTGATGATGACTCTCTACTCGTATATGTATTACAATCTCGTAACCTCTTTTCTTTAACAAGTGACTTACACCGACTCCCACTTCAGTCTTCCCCATTCCTGGGATAGAAAGTACAACAACCATGCGAGAGGCCTCCAGTATCTCAATGATTTCCTCTACGTCCGTGTCTCTTCCAACAAAGTGTGCGGTTAAACACGGAAGATTTCGAGGTAGATCACCCGGCGACGACGGTATACCTAAAATACGAAAAAAAAAAAAGGAAAGAAAAAGTTTGAACAGATACACGAACGGTAACCGACCCCAACAGATGTCCCAAAAACAAGTTCTATATACCAATGGACAAACAATATACCAATGGAACCCTGAATATAAGACCCCAAATAGACCCTTTAAGACTGTGCTAGCATAATTTTTGGCATAATAATATACATGACAACATTACGCGCGCCTGATACGCGCATTTGAGAAGGAAGATGCGGTTATCAAAGAGAATGTCAGGGAACATTAAACAAAACATAAGGGTGTGAAGCTTTTTCAAAGTGGTTTTTTTATAGACATGCAGTATCCATATCTGGGAGCTTCTCCAGGCAGAATTCAAGTTTGTAAATGTTGTGTTTAGACACTTTCGGAGGTCAAGAGCATTTTTAAAAATAACTTTTTGGAACTATCAAATGCAAGGACAGCTAGCTTTAGCATGATTGGAACAGTGTAATCTTATTATCTACACTCTTAAGGGAAATTAGTAGTACCTGTAAAATTGGACAAAGAACTGTGGGAGCAAATGGTGGGGAAGCTATCAAAGTTCTTTGGGAATACATGGTGCCTGAACTCCTCAGTAGAAAGATTCATGAAGAGGTTAGTCACGCCTGACTACGCCTTTAAGAACCAGGATGGAATTAAAGCACCTTCTATCTTAAAATTAATTTAATGTACACTTAGAAGATTCAAAATAGTCTTTGTGGCCTGATTACAGGTTAGAGGATACACTTGATTTACTTGTTGTGTTTTGATATCAAGAAAGATATGACAGTACTTATAGATGCATTGTAATATGACAGAAGTGTAAATTAGCGTGATATCACAAGTTTTTGTTTGTTAACCAATGTTATCTTCAGTGGATCAATTCCGAAAAAAGGTTCTTTTGTTAAATCCAAACTAAATCAAGAGTTCGAAGTGGTTACTTTGCATAATGAAGTTGGGTTTATTTGTTTTTTTTTTGGTGATAAATTAGGAGAATATTAGAGAGTTCTTCTTTGTTAGTGGAGGAAGAAGATTAAAAAAACCAGCACAAACTGTTAATATTTTATCGGCAAGAAGCACAAGTGGTATAAGCAGATTTTTTACTTATTTACGATCCCAGTAATTCAGTTTCTCGGCGAAGGGTTTCAAATTATTAAATATCGCCGTGAAGAATTTCATAGATTCGCATTCTCCCTGAAAAGTTTCCGTTTCAACGCTGGCATGTCATTGAGTTCGTTTCGAAGTGTTTCTTTATCAGCTCTTAAGATATCCAGTCAAGTCGCCGACGGTTTAACTCGCCAACGCCAACTCATCGACGTATATAATCGAGTAGAGACGTCGGCGAGTTGGTCTTCAATCCAGTACAACTTATTAGACGTTAAACATATAGAAAAGTAACAGATCTTTGGTAAAAAAAACAATTTTTTTTTCTTCCAACAAAGTTTATAAGGATCTCATGCCGAATAAAACAAGGTAAACATCTCCAGTGACTATAAAAGCTTCAGACGCGAAGGAGTTATTGTGTGACAACAACACTGTAACGACTCATCATGTCAATCGGTCAGATTTTTTTTCTAAACGAGATGTTTAGTAAAAAACAATTCTTTTCATTTCTAACGAGGTTTATAAGGATCTCAAAGCGAATAAAGCAAGATAAACACCGCCAATGACCAAAAAAAGCTTTAGACGCGAACAAGTTATTATGCGCCAACAACACTGTAAAGGCTCATCATGTCAATCGGTCAGATTTTGTAAAAAAAAAATTAGCTTTCTAGACAAGATCTTTCGTGAAAAAAAAAATTGTTATTGACAGTCTAGGCTTCACTTATAACGCGTCGTCCAGGCAGCCTTACGCGATATATTGGCAGTGTACCGTCCTTCCAAAGGGAAATCACTGAATGCCCTTCCGACCCCTCCAGCAGTAAAACAAGTTACGTTGGATTTTGAGGCAGCTATGTGGGCGGCTATGAGGTATGTACTGCCCGCAGTGCAACTTCAGGGCTGCGTGTTCCATTGAATCTAGGCATTATGGTGAAAGGTTGGTTAAGTAAAGTATACTACTATTACCATAAAGTTAATGGACAACGTTACGATTATCATTTGAATAACACGTCATATGTCTGTTTGTTTCTATATAGATTCAAGAATTGGGGCTTCAAGTCCTTTATCAGAGAGACGAAGGGACCTTCAAGTACCTCCGCAAGTTGATGGCGTTGCCCTTCCTTCCGAGCCATGAAATTCCAGCTATGTTCAAGTCTTTGAAAGAACACGCCACATCACCAGCCCTCCGCGAGCTTGCAAGATACATTGAAAATCAGTGGGTTCAGTCCCTTGTATTCACGCCCAAAGACTGGGGTGTTTATGGCCAGCCTACAAGGACTAACAACGACATTGAAGGTACTTTTATTTTGAAAATTGAATGGTAAATTATACAGGACCTTAAATGTCTAATGTATACAGAAACATCATATGTATTTCTTTCACGTCTCCTACGTTTTGTGCTAATCTTTACATTCCCAGGTTGGCATCATGCACCTAATAGAAGAGCAATGGGGAGGCATCTTCCGTTTTACGAACTAATAGAGCTTTTACACAGGGAAGCAAAATCGGTGGCCACACAAATACGATTAGTATCTAACCAGAAGCTGACCAGAATCCAAGGAAGGGCTTATAGACAATTGCAGAGTAAGGTGTTTGGATTTTGGCAGAAATATGAGAATGGTGAAAAAAACAGCGGCCCAATTATTGAAATAGATGTCGAAATTAAACGCAGAATAATTGCATAATGTACATAGTGTAGTATGGTATCCCTGTGTATTATGTGTACGTATGTCACGTGACTAGCACATGGAGAGAGATCCGCGATCTTAATTAAAAGGCCTCGTTCTGTTGACATTTATATCTGTCTCGTCCTGCTTCTTCCTATAATATTACACATAGCTTTCAAATGTTCACTTGATCTTTATAATATATCAAATTTCATCGCAAATCAAACGTTCTCGATCATGAATAAATCATTCTTTAGAGTTGAAAAAACATGTGGTTCCCTGTGGTTGCTATATGGTTGTCACACAATAATTATCTTATTCGCGTCTAAAGTCTTTTTGGTCATTGGCTATGTTCACCTTGCTTTATTCGCCTTGAGATCCTTATAAACTATGTTGGAAATAAAAAGAATTGTTTTTTACTAAAGATCTTGTCTAGAAAGTTTTTTTTTTTTAAAATCTAACCGATTGACATAATAAGTCGTTACAGTGTTGTTGTCACACAATAACGCGTTCGCATAATACGCGACTACACTTTGCGTTAACCGATGGGCCCAAGGTTACAGTGATACACACCGGACAAAATCTAAAGTCAAATACTTTTCGGCTTGGACTAAAAAATATTTCTTAAGTATAAGACTCGATAATGGTTAAGAGGAAAATATTATAAGGACATCTGTGTTTTTACAGCTGTTTGGAATGGCGTGCAAATAGTGTATCTGAAGGTTGAACTAATCAATAAGATAACTTTTCTGTGACTCTGAGTGAGTTTCACGCTTACGCGATCATCAGACAGATTTTAATGATAGGTAGTATGTATATATACCGACTAGTTAGTTAACGGCGTACTGAGCAATTTTACGCTGTTAGTTAACGGCTTAAAATCTTACAGCATGATATTACCGATTGGAAGAAATAGCGCCGCTGGTTAACGACGTAAAATCCTACAGCATGTTAATGTACCAACTGAATGAAACTACGCCATTAGTTACCTGTGTAAAATCTTAAAGTAAATATATAGCTTAACCGTAAAATTAAATAACTCTGTTACACAGCTACTTTGGCCCAGATACTGGTATTGATCCGACATATATATATATACCGACTGAGCCAAATTATGCCTTCAGTTGAAGGCGTAAAATCTTACTCTATGTACCTATACCGACTGAGCCAAAATACGCCGTTAGTTAACGGCTTACTGAGAGATTTTACGCCGTTAGTTAACGGCTTAAAATCTTACAGTATGTATTTATACCGACGGAGATATATAGTGGCGTAAAATCGCACAGTCTATAGACTATGTTAGTCAAATATTAAGCTGTTATCTAATTACCGTTCTCTTTGAGAGCGGTGACAAACGCAGCGACCAAAGCATGCACGCCGTTTCAAATCTACTAACCTTACTGCCAATCAAACATCATTCGATGCTGCTGCAATTTGCAACTGCAAACTCTTCGACCTGAAATCTATTGCCAATTTTGGCGCATTTACCTTTATCGTTAACTTTCTTTCATGCGCTCACAGCGAGATCAACTTTGATTTTATCGAAGACGTGACAAGAATTTATCCGAGATCTGTCAATTAGCACCATTCATAAAGAAAAACAATAAATGTTTTATTCGATCTTAGCAAATCTATCTGCACACAGGTCTTAACCAGAATCTTACCTTGTTTTTCAATTGAAACGGCTACTTTGATGCATCCGACGGTTCTTAGAAGCCATACCAAATAAGACACGTCTTCTTGACAGATTTTTTCTTCTTGGCTTAAGAAGCGTAAAAACTCATGTTGTCTTTCGATGGCATCGAGCTCTCCTCGTGGCAAATAATTATTGTTGTATTGTCTGGCACAGAGAAATTTCATTTTGTCCAACTCTTCTTTTGTTATTTCGCGAGCAATGTCACCCAAGAAAGTATCGAACTCTGCTTTATTTCTAGGGGGTAGCGAAATATTCGGCGGTCGAGTGGACTGCGCCATGTCTGACAGACTTCCCGTCTCAAGCCACGCAAACGTTACCTAAGTGATTAAAAAACGATTCGCGTGACACCACAAAATGTTGAGGGTGAGTCTAGTCACGCAGAACAGCTCGGAAATTGACACCTGGCTACATTTTCTAACAAACTTGACTGTATGTGTAATTATGAATGAAGGGATTACTTTCGTATAAAAACTGTGGTGCTACATCGGTGGGGGCGTATAACAGGGTAATTCAGTATTATTGATAATCAAGAGTTTGTGGGTCAGTCGGTACATAATCAGGAGGATAATGAGAGAAATTTGCAAGATATTCGTAAAAATTATTCACAAATGAGTCGACGAATCTTTCGAACAATGCTCAAGTAGTCAAACTTCATTTGAAAGCTGTCATTTAATAATTTATGCCTAAAGTATAATAACATTTTGATTTTGACCGCAGAAATGCGGATTAGTGAAGTGGAACTTCATATCTATATCTGAATAGTATAATTTTCAATGTTGTTAAATTCTAAACAGTTCGCTAACTTAGAATAAATATCCATGATTTATCTCACACGAAGTTAGGCAGAATCAATTGTTTCTGGGGTATACCCTTACAGAAAGGCCGTAAAGGACGTTTCGCCTAAAATAGGTACTATTGAGTGCCATTGTGTAGATGCAGAGGCAGGAATTTTTATTTATCTAAAAATGGGAAATGAATTTAAAAAGACTGTTTCAAATCCAGAACATTTCTTGTATTAAAGATCTCACTAGGACATGTTTCAGGTACACAGCTTTACAATCTAGATATGTGACAGTGATTCATCTTTCTAAGGAGGCATAGGAAACAGGTACGTTTACCTTTTGGTAAAAAGTGGAAAAAAAATTGCCAGAGTTTAGGAATTAAAGCAGAACATCAACAAATCTTGGCCCTTTTCCCTAAGGATGGGAAGTACTGTAAGCTGAAAAGAGGGTTCAACTGAGCTCTATTTAATTTTGCAAGGTTCTGCGCTACTATCAAGATGGCTCTGACCAAGGCTTGATGACTGGCTGCCATTCCATAATTGTATAGCTATGACAGCCCTAGACACCATTGGCAACATAATTCCAAGCTACATTAGTCAATGGTGCCTGATAGCTTAGGGGAAGCTGACTTCAAGTACAACAAGAAATACAATTTCAAAAGTGGTTCTTACTGACATAAATTTTAATAATAATCATTTTTTTGCCCATGTAGTAAGGTGATTTTTTAACAATGGCTTTTCAGTATTACAGCTTTGCACTCCTGTTACATGAAAATTACACTTACTTACAGCCAATCAGACAAGCATAATTTTTTTTCGCATATATTATTCATAAATACATGGATCATGTAAATTGGTTGTCTTTGAAAAATTTACCAGTGTTTATGAACACCAAATTGCACTCGAAATCATGTTACTACCCATGAAAGTTGACGATATGTACAATAGATAACAAATTAAAACACAGGCGTAAACAAAATGCATATAACACAAAAATTTGTTAATTGAAAAATTTAAAATTACATTTCTGAAAAACCAATTGTCAATAAATATTATTCTTCTTCCCATCTTATTACAAAATGTTGTTCACAGAAAGTTCTACAACTATTAATTTTTCTTAATGGGGGGGGGAAGGGGTGAAGGAATGTTAGACTGATATACAGCATACTATTATTCATGTCGTGTGTCCTAAATTTTTATAAGATTCAACAGATACTTAACTAAAAGGCAACGACATTCAGGGAGTTATATCTTTTTAAAATAATATTATATGATATTTCTTTCACTGGATTTGATTCAGTGTCTAAGATACTGTGATACCAAAATTATGTGCGTCTTTAAAAACAGAGGAGACCCTCATACAGTGTAAATAAAGAAAACTCACTATGTACCTACATGTACATGTACATCTCACTAGAAAAAAAGAGGAGATATAACAAGCTTTAAGAATTACCAGTACAGCTGCAACTACTAAATTAATTTAATCTTATTCAATTACACACACAAGCTTCATATTCTACTTTTGTTTACTTGATTACACTGTAGGAGAAGCATGTGTACATCTAAGCCTTGTAATGGGAATTTCTCTTTATGCAACATTAGAACTACCAATTGAAACTGAAAATGCTCTAAAAAAATTTTTTTAAAATATTTCATGTATGTCAGCTGAATTTTACACATAATTAGGACTCAGACATGGTTTGATGCTACTCTGGTTTAAAGATTTAATTAATGTTACCGGAATGTTACAATTCATAGACCAAACCTTTCACCACTCCTGTCTAATGCCTTCATCAGGCATGGTCTTTATATGCTGCATCAAGAGGTCCTTTTATATGCTAACTAACTAATTAGCTTCCCTTTTTCTGATGAGGTGTGGGTAGTAAGCCACCATCATCACAATTTTTAAATTGTGATTGTTGCTTAGATTGTCCACCTGGTTGCCTTGTGAACTTTAATATATCATAATTAGGACTATTTCTTGAAAGACAAACTAGAGCCTACAGTAATGTTTTAACAAATGTCTTAGTTCAGTTTTGAAAAGCTTTAGTTTTTAATTTAGTTATTATTATTATTTAATCATGATCATTGTAAAAATGTCACTGCTTTCTAAACCTACATTGAAGATAAAATTCTATACAATCTGAGCCTTGAAAAGCCCCAATATTTACCACTTCATTATGTACAATCCACGATGAACAAAAAGGTTGGACTTATTAAAGCACCAGGTACAGGTGAATTTTCTTCCCAGTGGATTAAAAAAAATCACTTCTCTGGTTGTGGTTCCTCAATAGATGACCATCTTTTCATAGCCAACTGCTCTTCATCTTTGGCTTCATCATGCCGCCCAAGCTGTTTGAGGACATGAGCTATCTCTCTGTGTGTGCGCACAGTTTCCTGGTGGTTCCCTAGAACCTTGTCTTGAATGCGAAGTGCACCTCTCAGAGTTTCTAGAGCCTCGTTCAGCTCTCCCTTCATTGCTAGGGCCTGTTAATTGCAAACAAGAGCAACATGCAGTTGAAAACAAGCAATTCTGACTTGGAAACCATTTAACCATATTTAGCAAGACAAAGGAGAATTAATACTTGTATGTTAACCCTTTCAATCCCAAGATCTCTAGAGTAATTCTCCTTACTATCTACTATGCAATTCTTATGATGTCTTATGATGTTAATTTGGAGAACTTGGTATTGCATCAAATAACAATCCCTTATTAATATTTTACTTTGTTCTCATCACTTTTCTGCTTGATCTTGTATTGATACTGTAAGGAGAAATCCCATCTTGGTCACTTATAGGAGTTTAAGGGTAAAATGATGTACCTTTCCAAGACCGTGGAAGGAACGTGCTGTTTCTTGGTGATCACCCAGTGACTGATTCCTCATGCGCAGTGCTTCACGGAGGAACTTAATTGCACTTTCATAGTTTCCAAGGGCCTGGTATGATATGCCCATGTCGTCCATCAGGGTAGCAGTAAATGGATGATCTCCAAGTGACTCTAAATACACTGGAAGGGAGTATTCTTCTCTGAACTTGTTAGCCTCTTGGTGAGCATCATTGAATGCATAAGAAGCTACAAGTAGATGTAAAAATATGGTTTTACTCATTAAGAGATGCATGTAATGTGAGGGAAAAATACAAAGGAGGAAGGTATACTGTCAGTAGCTGCTGAAGTCAAGGGCAATTGGTCAATTATCAATTCCAATGTACTCAATTTCTGCACTGGCCCTTTGTTATTAAGGAAATCTTAACAGATTATTGGAGTGAAACATGTACAGTGTACTATTACACAATATTAAAATTCATACCAGCCTATTTATTTTACCTCCAAGGTCTTTATAGCCCACTGCAACAAAAATCTTATCCTTGTGTTGCTTCCTGATCTCAATTGCTTCCTTTATGCGTGGAAGGGCTTCATGCAAATCTTTCTGTTGTCCAAAGCAGCGGCCAAGTTTACTCAGGCAAAATGCACGCACAAGGGAAGAGTTATCTTTAATTTCTTTCTGTATCTTGTCAGCCTCCTTAAATCTGGCAACAGCTGATGGACATGGCAGATGACAGGCGCAGTGCGAAAGGATACAATATGCCTCAGAAGTCAAGCAGTCGCTATATCTCTTTTTATCATCACTTGCTTTGCAGGCCTCTGTAAACATCCCAAAAACTGAGAGAAACTTCTCCTTTCTAAACACCTTCGCTAGGAAAGGAGTTACTTCAACAGCAGTGTCAATACACATTTTATCCAGGTCAGGATCAGTTACAGAGTCTTTCAGGGCCTGCCTGATGTTAAGACGATTGATCAAGAAAAGCTGGACAGCCTGGCAACAATCTTTGGACAGGAAAACTGCATAGAGTTCCTTTAACTTTCCCAAGTAGTGAATATTGAACACTTTCCTAGCTGACTGGTAAATTGGGTACAAATCTTCTTCTTGGTTCACACAATCATGACAAAACGACTGGATTATACTGTGCACGTAATATTGCTTTAGTAAGTGATCAAATTGGAGCATGGAGTTATCCACAAGGTTTTGAAGCAATATCCCCAACTTGAAGTCTGACAGGTCTTTGAGGAGAAAATGGGCATCAGCCAAAGTGAATGTTGTTGGGAAAACTGCAAGAGATATCATAGCAACTTGCTGGTCATGATCAAGTCGGCTGAAGCAGATTCTGAGACAGTTAAATAGTTGATGCTCATGGCTGAGTGAATTGAGACTGAAAGATTTTAGAGTTGACACAGGGCTCATCTGGAACTCATGGATCAGAGCTTTAGCATCTACCCCTTTTGCCAATAGGGCTGCTGTGGTGCGCAAAACAAGTGGCACTCCACCACAGTGATTGGCTAGCTGTTCTGCATCCTCTTCAGATACTTTGGACTCCAGCGTCAGAAGCAACTCTTTGGCATGATCTGGACAAAGAGAATCTAGCCGGAGCTCAAACATTTCAACGGAGATGAAAGTAATAGATTGACGTGATGTAATTAGGATTTTCACATGAGAAGCAGTCTGTGCAA